ACTCTTGTTTGGCGTCAATATTTCAACTGTAGACTTGCCTTTCAAGGACTACATTCATCCGCTTGGTGCCAGATCTTTGACAATGACAAGTGACAATGACTTTGACAATGACAAGCATCAAATTTGACAGTGAAACTGATTATGAATTTTCTCCAAATCCTGAAATAGGATGTGAAGAGCAAAAAGGTGTTCGGAGGCGCCAGTTTATCTGGCAGCAACATATCAGCGCAGAAAATGATAGGTGATTCAGATGCATAAAGATTACGCGGCAAAGGTATGATGATATCCTTCAAAAGTGGTAGACGAATGAGATTTGTAGCATGCCAACGGCTCCAGTGAACCACCCACCGGCGCTCTCTTCTCCCCTGGCCAAGGTGACAGAGTAGATAGGGGCACCCAACGAACTTCGAAGCCAGGTCATAGTTTATTGGCGCAATGGTTCTAAGGCCGACCTCGCGGCTTGGTTGTTGTTACTGTTGTATGGGTGTTAATAGTGTTTGTGGGTTGTGCTGCTGCTGAAACTTCGTGTTTACAAGCAGATGCGAATAAATGCGGTACTGCTACTATCAGTGCTACTACAAAATATAACAGGTCAATACCTGAAAGAGGCAGAAACTGCTGTATGTACGACCAAAAATACAAACACTTACATTCAACATAGAGAATGATAGGTTGACAAACATTACCAGCGATTTAAGACCAAAACTAAATTTTTAAGTATTAGCATACTTCCATATAAAAAATGTTTGTGGCAAATGCAAAGCGGTGACAGTGTAAAAGTGGCTCCAAAAATCTATGCACTATCAAGCTACTGCAAAAAAACTAAGCTTAGACGACCTCACAAAAGCATAATAGCCGCTGACAACCAATAGCATACTCAGAAAGTGGCTTCTAAGCGAAGGAACATGGAACACCGAAAAAAGAAAATCGCGTGCTTACGACGGAGACGAAGGTGAAAACGACGCAGTTAGAGCAGCGTCACCGCTGGTTACCTCTCGGCAACAACCGAGTGACATACAGTAGAGGGGTGAACTGAACTCATTTGCTGTTCTTTATTCTTAACACTGAACCTCCTACTCCGCTTCGTCGCGAACATTCTTCGTTGTTGTCCAATGCCACCAGTCGCTCATTGACAATCCAGATCAAGGCTAAAAAGACCATTCTGCGTCGGCAACGTTAAAGAATGATGGAAGAAACTTTATACATTAAAAGAATACGTTAGTTCGATACAGGTGAACTTTCGCGGTTCACGTTCAGCTTACTGTTAGATCAACAAGACGCTCCAGTCAAATGTTCAACACCCATCAAAGGGTGACCTAAAGTTAGCAGTTTGTAAACTTACCGATTAGCTTTTACCGTTCGACGCAGTTACTGGTTATAAAACCACGAATATGCAAATACAAATGCCAGTGGACAAATGGGTCCATCAACTTTATAACGCACTATTATGAAGTGTCTTGTAAAATGTTAATTTCAGAATGCCTGATGTACTGGAAGCAAGCAACAAATAGTACGACGATTATTGTATTCATATAAAAAATTCTTTACAAGTCAACAGTTTTGGAAAACAGTCAGCATTTATCATAAGCTGCTGAGAATAACAGTAGATTAAAGGGCTGCCTAGCACAGTAAAAGAATAGCTTAGCTTAGAAAGGTTATCATTACCCTCATACTGTAAGAGTTTAATGGTCGACATATGCCAGGGAGACAAAATTTTAAATCCTCCAAATTCGCTTAAGGAAACAACTCTTAGTGGTGCGCAATTCTGCAACCGCTGCGTGGGTTAAAGCAACCTCTCAGCCGAAAACATGATAGTGAAGACCACGGTAGCATAGGGCAAATAATCCTCTCAAATTCGAAATTAGACACAACAGAGAACACAGGATCATTCAACTACAGTCGTGAAGCGAAGACGCTGAAATTCTATAGCGCTTAGTTTCAGGTCAATTTCATTCTGATTTGATATAGATGTGTTCATAAGAATTCCAATGAGATATTAGCAACCGAACTATATCTGACTAAAAGAAAAAGACTAAATAGTCATACAGCTTCGAAGAACCACTGACACACAAATGGTCAGGAAGAAACCAAGCAGTGACAGTGGTTAGTATTGTTTAATTCAAGAAATAACACTGGTAAAGAACCCGAGAAGTGATCGGGCTTGCGCAATCGGTAGAGCATCAGAAGCAAAACCGAAAATCTTAAGTTCGAGCCGCTGTCGGGGTCACTCAGCCTTTTTCCTTCCAAGGTTGATGGATGCCACTTTGTGAATAGCAAACAGGAAACAGGAGATTACACAACATGACTGCAACATGGCTGCGGTCGAATCTGCCTTTGAAATAAGGTACTATTGGTAGATGACATTGAAATGGAGATGAGCGCCTCAATTTATTTCATGAAAAGAATGGATCCAGAAATGGCTCTAAAGTGAAAGTGCAAGGAAGACTGACATTCAAACAGTTACAAACTTTCCTATCCATTTGTTGGAGGACAAAGAGGCGGAAGCCTACTCCTGAAATTTATGCTTTTCAGTCAGAAACGATGAACAGATTGCCAATTCACATATCAGAAGTTGCTGACACCCATGCCTACAGTATAATGTGATAGACGATGAAAATGAAGTAGCAGAGAAATAAAAGCAGAAGAAAACGAAAATGAAAAAGAGGACCAAGAGGGAAAAGTCGAGGAAGAAGAAAAAGGTGGAGCTAAAATAACAACATTCAATTCTAATTTTCCGGGTTTACACCATGTAGGCTCACTTTAGCCTTGCTTCTAATGGCCTAAGGGGCCGTTTCAGTAGGCTAAAGTTCCACAGTTTTATCTTCTGCATGGACGCAAAACTGCATCACTAAGGATGGATAAATAAGAACAGCAGCTGATATTCTACTACCCTTAATCATTTTTACACATAAAAATAAATACCGTTACTATGGGTTTAATAGAAAACTGCTGGCTTTCAATATCACAGATAACAACATCTGGTATAATATGGATCTTCGACCTACTTAAATAGTCCCCTAAGCCAATAGAAGCAAATAAATGGCATGCCTACGCCATGCAAATCCAGAGAGCTAATGGTGACTGTTATCTGCTTACTGGCGGAATCGAAAACTAGCAGTTTTTCAGTAAACCCATAAAATGGGTCTCTACACGTATAAATTTAAACAACGTATGACAGCAAACCGTATAAAAAGCACGCACACAAATCAGAAAATTGTGCTTCTGTATTTTGTAAATTTGATTATTGTAGAAACTTCAACAATATAATGCTACTAAGTGTACAAGCATATTTCCACTAAAGCTAATAATAAATGTAAAAAATTGAAACTGTTTCTTCTGCAAAAGTCAGTGCAAAAATTTTTAAACTACATAGTACTAACCGACCATCTGATGTCATGCGAATGAGACAAACTTCCGCAGGTGTACCGATCACGGCTCCAATGGCACCGGCGGTTATGCCCATCAAAATTTTAGATGAGAAAGACGAATAGCCAGGTCTATAAATGCGATTTTGCAGAAAAGTTTCTAACCACGCATCAGAATTTAAAACTAAAATAACTCAAAACTAAATTTATGTATGTAACAAGCAAACGCAATACACTGATGTAATAAAAATGTACAAACAAATATTAAAACAGATAGCAGTCAGATATACTTCTGGTTTTAAAACTGATCAAAACGCGAAGAGAATAACCAGGCATTAATGCTAAATTAAAAATTCTTTCCAATTCTACATCTTCATCACAGGCAACATGAATATAGCGCCAACGAACTACGGCCAATTAATTCTACAACGCTTACAAAGTACTCATGAATTATGGACAATAAAGTCCTGGGGACAAGAAAAAACTGATGCATTAGCAGTTGATGTATCGGCTGTCCTGATTTCGGATAATAAACTATTTTGTCCTGCCTATCGCTTGCAACAGTGCTTGAGGTATGCGAAAAGTCATCGCTTTTGGCAGATGTTCAAAGGATTCAAAAAGAAATACGCTTCGTATAGCAACCTATGTTTCTACCCTACCACGTCCGTTCGGCTTTATGTTTATTTGGGGGCAGTAGCGCAATGGGTTAGTAGTTTGTTTTCTACTTTATAGGGGCCAGGTTCAAACCCCACGCTCGGCAAAAATTTTTTTCATAATTTACTGCTAATTCCCTTGAGCAAGAAATTTACCCAACTGTTCGTAAACGCAATCTGTCAAAAAACGGGAGTACTATGTCGTTAATTTTTGAATAATAAGGACGATATCGTAACACTGGTGTAGTCATGCAAAAGTGTACGAGAGATACGATCATGCTGTCTGATGTGTGCGCAGTTCCTCTCTACTACATAGCTGACCAAAAATCAGCATAAGGTGTAAACGCAAATGTAAAATAACAATTTTGGCTTATGTTACAAAATTCGAAACTTTAAATTAGGCAGCTGCATGCCATGCACTTCTTACTGAAGGAATGCTTCCGCGGCGACCATTCACTGGCTTAGAAATCTTGACATTGAACTATAAAGTTGCTAGTCATTTCCTCCAGCTATATGACAGAAGAAGACTGAAGGAATGTAGTCTTTTGCTGTTATTTCTCAATGAGTTCAAACCTAAGTAAATAAAAAGAACGGGGAATAGGGGAACAAGCGTTGCAGTTAAAGCAACCTGAATTTTCGAACTAAATTATGACTTCCAGCGCAACACCAACCGCGGAAACAACTTAGTGTAATCTTTACATACATAAAGATGAACAGCATTTACATTTTGCAGTAAAGTGGAAATAGTCAACAGTCAAATTCTAAATGAAAAGGAATCAGTAGCAGAGGGACAGTTTGTCAATAACAGCATACAGTAAGTTATCAGTCTAAATTAATAGCTAAAATTTGCTGACACACTCGATAGAATTACCACAATAATTTAATAATTTTCAAAATGGTTTACTGTGAAAAATATTCCATGAGAAAGTTGTAAGCACCAAGTCGAGCAGTGGTATACGTCGCCTGACGAAACAGCCCTGCAGAAAGCCTGAAATTATAAAACTTCTATTACACCGAATTAACTAATCATTTACATTTACTTCCCATACACAAGAACCTTTCGAATGGCTGCAACTTTTTACTATATTCAAACTACCCAGTTTTGGACAGCATTATCGCCGCCTCGCTTCAAAGGGGAGTATCCTTTATGCTATACATCCTTTTAATACTGGAAATGCATCAGTACATCTTGCAGTTTATTCTCTAGAAGAATACCATATTCATTACCGAGGATGCTTTAGGTCCTGTACGCCCAATCTGCTTTCTAAGTAACAACCAAAATCACAGAAAAAACTCAAACTTATTTTATGTTAATTCTAATACTAAAAACGTTTTGCTATAACCGTGAGATATATGATGTAAATTAAAGGATTAGAGGAAATGCTCAAAAAATGACTGATCATTCGACAATCATTATAACAAGATATTATCGCAGTCGTAAAAATTAAGACAAAACAACAAACGTCTGTGAATCTGGATCTCTACACCCGGGTGTGTAGAGCGCAGGATATTATTCAGATGTGTGGATATCTTTGGTTTTGTTCCTTCAACTGCCAGAGGAGAGTTCATCAAATGTCAGAATCAAAAAAGTAAAAAAGTTTGTAACTGTTGGAATTATGGTCTCTATTACACTTAGTCAAGAATGAGTCATTTCTAGCGCCCTTCTTTTCATGAAGTTAATGGTGGTGCGCTGATCCCAATGTCCATGTGATCAGCCAGGAGCGTCTTTTGTTTAAAAGGAGACTAGACGGCAGCTATGTGACAAGCATAATATGTAGTCTCCTGTATCCTTCCTTACACATTTATAAACCTCGGAAGGAAGAAAGGCGAGTTATCCGCCCTGGGCTAGAACCCAGGGCCTCTCGATTTTGAGTCTGATACTCTACTGCTTAAGCAATCCCATCACTATCGATGTTCTTTACCAGTGTTATTTCTTGAACGGAACGAATTATTGTCAACCGCTGCTTGGCTTTTGCCTGACTGTTCTCCTGTCAGTAGTTCTTACAAGCAGTGTAAGGGTAGATATACAAGCAGAACTAAAGAGATACCTTCGTATTACCCAATGCTAAGTTAGAAAGACGACAGGTGGGATGTATAAGGTCCAGAGAGGGTTTTTGCTCGTCACGCAGGGTACAGAAATTGGGGAATTCGGTCATGAACATAAAAGTTATTATAAAGAACAACTGAGAATTGGATAAACAGTGATTCTTCTGCCTTGTGGATTACTAATCATTACAGCTACTAACAGCAGGCAAAGCGCCGGATTAACCGAAAGGCAGCGGACTAAAAGACTGAAATTTCGACATTACATGCATTTCTGAACATACTGTTTTCACACGAAGATGTTTCCCACAGCGAAAACCTTCTTAGAACTTCAAACGATACTGCTCTAACTCACTAATTACAGAACCCTGTCATAAGGTATAACCGTATGCGTCTGCTGGGTGGCGAACCTGAGCGCAGAAAAAAAAAGTCCATACGATGGAGCTTACACCTAAAGACCTACCTAAACAGTGGATAAGGACACTGCAAAATGAACTAGATATGACCATATATTATTCATATTCACAGGTGTTGTGTTACCCATTGTAAAGCGCAAACAGGCCTTCGTTGGCCAGAATCTTACGCACCATCTGAGGACTCGTTATTCGACGGTCGCAATGATCCAGCATTTGCATTCTGTTCTTAATCAGATCTAGAGGCTGAACAACCATGGTAGCCATCATTCTAAATAATGAAAGCTGTAGTAGAAAAGCGACCATACAATCCTTAAAAATTAACAGGTTACCCAGCCGCGCCACCGAAGGCGAACTTGAGACCATCGGGTATACAAACAGTCTGAGCCATTGTTGAGTACGGTCTAGAAAGAATACTTTGTATTGTTTTGCATCGAAACAGGATAAATAAGACTAGTTTTTCTTTAAATTTAGACAATATAAGAGCTAATTAAGCAGCTTTCAATCTCCAAAAATGAAGCATCGCATTTACACAGGCTATCTCTAGCATGTTACCCGTTTTCTTCATTTCAGTACTAAGCGATATGAAAAGCCTTATTCTTAATTTACACTATCACACGTGCATCGCAAAAATTTAAAATCTGTGATGTACAATTTACTTATTTTATTACTTACTACACTCACTTTGTTTGGCATAAAAAATTATATACTAAATTCATATTGATGGATTAAACCATACAGTGATTTAAGCAGCCCCTCTGTTTAGTCTAGATCCAGAACATGTACAAGGTCGTCAGGTTCTGGGACAACAACAAAAGCATAAAACAAAAATGACAACAAAAAATGCAAAAAATTCAGGATATGCCCGAAATCGGTGATAAGGTGAAGGAAAAAATTCTGCATAAACTCTGCAGCACGTAAATTTATTTTAACGGCTCCTGAACCATTGAGCAAAAGACTAATCCACACCGTACTGAGCGCAGTCATTAGGTCATAAAAAAAGTGATAGAAAGGCGATTACCTTCGAATAATGCGAGGAAGTATGGTCTTTTGCTTCGAAACAGTCGCGCAAGATCAGACAAAATTTAAGGTTACCTAGACTCATTGCTTCCAGAGTTACAGACCCAAACGTTGGCAGTTGTTTTATGATTCACATAAATCCATGATTTTAAGTTATACCAGTGAAACTGGTCCTATCATTATTATGCTGTGTTCAATCTATCTTGCTTCACTGTATTTTCAATATGCTTTTCGACGTATTAACGAAATTATGAAAGCTTATTCAGTTTTGCGTTTAGTTTCCAGTAAAGAATTCAGTTAATTTTAACGAAAAGAATAAAATAACAGAATTTACCCATTAAACATATTCGGTTTGTGACGTCGAATAATTTTGCGTTTAATATT